TTATGCAGTAATGTATCAAACAGTGTTTCTCTGCTATTTATAAGGTTGTCCCTGGCCAATTCTTTTGAGAAGTGGATGGTCTCTTCCTTCTTCCTAGTCTGTCTCAGTCTGCAAATCATGCCCAAACCTGTCCATCATGTGCAACCCTGCCAGCACTTGAAACACCAGTGGCACAGCCTCAAGCATCACAACAACACGCAAGCCACAACAGTACAACAAACTGACAGACAAGTTTGTCTCCCTTAGCTGTTTGAAACCTCTCCACCCTCCCCTTACCTGGATCCCTGGTGCTGCTCTGCGCTGTCATCCCCTCTGGCTTCTATTTCTCCTGCTTTCCTGTCTATTGGGGGTGGGGTCTGGGTCCCTCCCCTTACCTGGATCCCTGGCTGCTGCTCTGCTTTATAGTTTTATGATTAATGTCGACTTTAATCATGTCTTTAGACTAGCAGGCATGATTAAAGTTGACATTAATCATAGTGACTAACCTGCTATTTTCCCCTCCCTTTTGCTTTCGTTCAAGTAAATAGAACAGCCAGCCTCTTTAGGGATACTGAGTTCTTTAGGTTAGTTATTTTCAATTATACATTCTTCTAAGCCTAACCCTCTCCCATAACTGGTTTTGGCTGAGAACGGTAGTTTATGAAGCCAGACGATCCAGGGAAGAGGGATACTAGTCTGGAGTAACCAGGGAAGAGAAGAATAAAGACATTCCTGGTCATCAAGGGATCTTCAACTCCCTTCCTATCTCCATATATAATCATGATCACCCCTCTGCTCCAGGAGACAGATATTTTAGAGAAGTGATTCTCACCATCTCCTCGGGTCTCAATACTCAATAACCTTCTGCTTTCCCACCTCAACCTGTTGTGATCATTGGCTCTTCGTGACAGGGGGTGAGGGGCTTGTTTTCCTACAACAGGGATAATACCTCGATGCTGTGAGGGGGGCGATCAGACATCAGGAGCAATGGCAGTCCCTGTTTCTGTGCACCTCCTTCTTTCTTGGTTTACTCTTTCATTTTTTGTGGTGTGCACCCTCCAGTAGCTTTCTGAGAAAGTACAAATGGACGGCAGGCAGTTCCCCTCCCTTTCTGAGAAAGTACAAATGGATGGCAGGCATCCCTGAATCCACACTTTGGGTAGGCCCTTCCCCTGGGCTTGGCCATGTGACTTACTGGTTTCTGGTGCATGAGTTTCCCGAAGCTGCTGTGACAAACTTTGCAGCTTAACAACACGTTTACCCTCTCCCAGTTCTGGGGGCCAGGTGTCTCACCAGGTGTTGGATGTGGGTCTCACTGGCTAAAGCCCAGGTGTGGGCAGGGCTGTGTCCTCCTGCAGGCTCCAGGGGAGAATCCGTGTCCTGGCCTTGTCCAGCTTCTGGAGGCCACCCATGCTCCTGCCTTCGTGGCTGCTCCTATCTTGAGAGCCCTTGGGCTTCACCTCTGCTCCTTCTTCTGTCACCTCTCATTCTCTGACCCCATCAAGGAAAGGCCTCCGCTTAGGGCCCTGTGATCACCACAGGACCACCCAGGTAACCCAGGTCCATCTCCCTTAATCCCACCTGCAAAGTGTCCTGTGCATCATAGGTGCCATGGGCACAGGCTCTGGGGAGGACAGGGTGTCTCAGAGGCAGTCACTCTGCTGGCCACACTGGTCAGAGCTGGTGCTCCATTGGGCGGGGGGACTGGGCATGGAGGTATGAGGCCGTGATGTCATCCGTGTGCTCAATCACCTGTGCTCGAACCCCGGCTCCATCATTCATGACCTCTACACACTAGGTTCCAAATCTGTGAGGTGGGTTTGAAGACAGCACTCCCCAACACCTGCAGCAGGGACAGCACACGGCCTCAGAGTGGTGAGACATGCAAAGCCCTTGGCACGGTGCTCTGGGGCTGCAAGAAAACATTTCTATTCTCTTGGCCACCTCAAGGCTGAGCAGCATCCTGCCCTTGTCTGAATGAGCAGACACACAGCCTGGACAGCTCTCCAGCTTTCTCCTCCTTTCTGTGCTGTCCAGGGGGCAGGCTCTGAGCTGGTTGTGGATGTCACCAAGGAAGGCCCGCCAGATCCCTGGGAGCAACAGAAGGAAATGTATGGGGCTCATCTCAGCTACCATGACAGACGGGGTGGGCCTCTCTGGGTCTGACCTAGACCAGACCCCTGTGTTCTCTGCCCTGTCAGGCCCCCATTTCCAGAGACACTGAGGCCACATGTGTGTAGGGGGAGCACTGTATTAGGAGTCAGCCAGCCTGAGCCCAAAACCCAGCCCAACACCCATTGGCTGCCACTGGCTGTGTGCCCTTCTAATCCTTGGGCCTGTTTCCTCACCTGGGCAGATGAGGGTGAAGAAAGAGAGGTGGGAGTCTAGGCCGGCTACACACACTGGTGTCACAGACCCCACCATCACTTACTGGGTGTTTAGGGGCAGGCACTGTGTTGTACAGCATTACTTAATTTAATGCCCTCCTGAAAATGCATGAGTTTTTTGCGTGTTGTCGATTTCAACTCATGGCAGCCCCATGGGAGAGCAACGGCCCCACAGGGTTTCCTAGGCTGTACTCTTTGTGGGAGCAGATCGTGGGGTCTTTTGTCCCCTAGATCCACCTGTAGGTTTGAACCACCAACCTTTCAGTTAGCAGCTAAGTGCTTAAACCACTGCACCACCAGGCCTCCTATTTTTGAGGAGGGTCCTATTGTTAGCTCCATTTCCCTGGTGATGAAATCAGAATGCAGCAAGGCTGAACAGTGGGTCAGCAACAGCAAAGCCTCTGCGTGAACCTGGCTCCTCACGGATGCCCTGCGCTTCCCTGGCTGCCAGGGTGCTCCTGGTGGGACCCACCCCTGGGGAGACCTCATTCAAAACAAACAGCATTCCAAACCTGATTTTAGATGTAGTTTTATTGGAAAAAGCTGGTATTAACATATTTATAATTCTATTCAACAGGTGGGTAATTTGTGACACACCAGGAAAAAAAAAAAAACGGGCATGTAACCATGAGTCAGAGTCCAAAATGCCCAGAACGGTCGACTGGACCAGCACACACTCCCCACCCTCAGGAGCTCGATCACCAGAGAAGGACAACGGAAGACCCAAGAGCTCACAGGGACCACGGCCGATGCCCGGCAGTCAAGGAGACTGGGAAGTTTAACCACAGGAAGGATGCAAGGTGTGACCATCAGACCGGCCCTTCTGTTCAGCCCCTCCGCCCACCCCCTCAGCAACTTTTCTCCACACACATTCTGCTTTGGACATCGTTACATTCCAGGGATCCTGCCCTTCCCTCCTTCCTCCCTCTCCCCCTCGCCCCGCTCCCTGTTTTGTTTTCCTTGTTGGTTTGTTAACCGAGTTTACAACAGAAGGAAGAAACTAGGAACTGGATTGAGAACGTTTCTTTTTCAAACACACTATCGATTTGGACTTTGAAGATGGCAAATGCTAACTGATGACTTGACCGTAGTCTCTAGCTGCAAATGCTGGGTTCCTATCCAGGTAACTGTGTAAGGCCCTCGAAGCCGGGTTTTGGCTTCAACAAGTTTGTATACAACTTACCACATTCTTGAGCCGCTTTACAAGAGAACAGCCCCCCACCCCGATTGTTAGATTTCATTAGAGTTAATATGTACAGACAAGACTGCCCAGGTCACCTGGGCTTGGAGTGATGCTAAGAACAAACGGACCCAGGTCGTGGTTAGGCGGCCGGAAGTGAGTGCGCGTGATTTTGTGTCTACACACAGAAGTACGCAGCTGTCCACCGAGAGTCGTGCTGGGTCTGCCGCCTGGCTTGTGTGCATCTTGTACAAAAGGTTGGTTTGTGTGAACCTCGGTGTGCACCTGCCTTCCGGACACAACATGAAACCATGCAGTTCTGCGAGGCTGCACCTCAGGACAACGGTGAGTGGGAGCAGGTCCGGGTCTGGAGGAACAGCGTGGAAACGCTGCGCTCGGCCACAAGGGGGCGCTCTTGAATGAGACCGGCCCCAGACGGTGGGTCTTTAGGAAAAACGTATTCTAAAACGGTCCTAACATGCAATTTTCTTTTGGAGGCAGCTCAGTTCATCTGAAAATGGAGCTGTGGGTGGGGTGAGAACAGGGTCATTGAAGGCCAGCTCCTGAAGTTCCCACACAGAGCAGCGCACCCCAGGGGTCTTCATCTCCCAGGCCCCACCTGGGTCTCCCTGGACCCCATTACCATCACACCGTTTGGTCCTGCTTCGTAGGCTGAAGAGCCGGCTCCCTCTTCCGGAACATCCAGCCTCCTCCCGGCTACCATGGTGCTTGCAGGAGTCACCAACGTGGTGTGGTGGGTGGGACCCTGACGCCAGCACTCCACAAGGCCAGTTCTTAGCATCGTGGAGCCTCAGTTTCCTTGTGTGAAAAGGGGATGGCCCCTGGCACACGGAACAGGGGCCCCACAATGAGCCGAGGTGTTTACGCAGCACAGAGGGGAGACACCCAGCCATCCTGCGGACTCGGGCGCCCAGTGAAGGGGGAGCAGCCACCTGCCTGGAGGGCCCCAGCGCACGACAGACGGTGGCTGAGTCACAGAGCAACACACACAAACCGATGACCACTGTTCCCCTCCTCTTGTAAACGGTGATGGACGTGGGTACTTAAAGACACAAAAAGGACCTAAGAGAAGGGCTTGGGTCTGCAAACTCCCAGCTGAGTTCATGTCCAGAAACCTTGAGTGGGCGCCCTGCCCTAGGCAGTGAACGTCTTTCCATGGACGCCCCCAGACTCCCCGCCTTCAGGGTGCTTCTCCAGCCCGCGGCCCACCTGGGACCAGCAGGCCAAGGAGGTGTAGCCCGGTCGGCTCCTGGAGGGAACAATTAACTCGAGATGCAGGGGCGCTAGGGATGGGTACAGGACACAGACAGCAGGTCCGGGCATGGACGCAACCACCTGACCCCGGCACCCGGCACCTGGCGCCTCGGCCACAGACCCCGTCTCCCCAGGGCGCTGACGGGTGCCTACTGCATCTCGGAGTTGACCTTGTCCTGGAAGATGTACAGGTTGTTGGTGGCCGCGATGGCGATGATGTTCTCGGCCGGGTGCCACGCCGTGTGCAGGATCTTCTTGCTGAAGTCCAGGCTGTCCACGCTGATGTCGTCCCGGCGCCGCTTGCCGCCCGCGCACACACGACGCGGCTTGAGCACGGCGCGCGGCTTGCTGCTCTGCCGCGAGGCCTCCAGGGTCACGTCGCGCTTGGTGTTGCGGTCGAACATGCGGAAGAAGTTGTTGTAGGCCCCGGTCATGATGACGCTGGCGGAGAGGTGGGGGTTAGCAGGGGACCGCCCCCCGAGGCCCAGGGGGACCCTGCAGGGTGGCGGGGCTGCAGGTGGCGGTGCGGGTGGGGCAGAGCGCGGCCGGGTCAGCCCAGTAAGGAGCCACGCACCGTGGGGGCCCTGCACACACACACACACACACACACAAGCCGTGGGGATCCCGCACACACACGCATGTGTGTACCTTGGGGACCCCACACACACATGCACCAGGGGGACCCCTGCAGGGTTGGTGGGGCTGCAGGTGGAGGTTGGGGTGGGGCAGAGAGCAGCTGGGTCAACCCAGCGAGGAGCCGCGCACCATGGGGGCCGTGCACGCGTGCACACACACACACACACGCCGTGGAAATCCCGCATACACACACACGTGCATGCCTTGGGGACCCCCCACATAGGCACACGCACGCCCCCACACACACGCCTTGGGGCCCTCTGCATACACACAAATACACACACATGCATATGCTTGGGGACCCCCCACACACATACCCTGGGACCCCTGGCACACACACACCATGCACACACACAGCGTGGGGACCCTAGACACACAAACATGTGCACCTTGGGGATCCCTCTATGCATGCTTGGAGACCCCCCACACACACTGTGGGTACCCCCCCACACACACACACAACATGGGGATCCCCCACACATACACCATGGGCACCCTGACACACACATGGGGACCCCCAGCACACACACCCACACACACATACATTGTGGGGACCCCCCCACAGAAACAGATATGTTGTGGGGACCCCCCACCCTGGCACACACACTGTGGGTGTTGGAATCACCTCTTCCTCTCCCTGGTCTGATGGCCCCCTGCAGCCTGGGGAGCCAGCAAGTGTGTCAGGGGTGTCTGGGAAGCGTGCGGGTGCAGGCCCCAGGCGGCCCGTGTCTGCTCAGTGCTGCAGCCTAGCCTTCGTCCCTCTCCCAGGGGCTGGGTCCAGGCCGTAGGCAGAGGCCCCAGGCATGTGGCAGGACCCTCCTGGCTCCTCGCCTCCCCCAGCCCCTGTGGCTCCAGGGTGTCCAATCACAGGTGTTTCTACAGGGCTGAATGCCAGGCCACCGTCTGGGGACAGGCCCAGCGGCTCCTGGCCTGACACCGGGAGGTATGCCGTCCTGGGAATGACTCTCTCGGGGGCCGCCAGCCCTCACTATGCTCCTCTGCCCTGGGCACAGCTTGGCAGCTTGGCAGCCAGAGCTCCAAGCTGTAGCCACGAGGCTTCTACCCTTCAGAATCCCACTCCTTGCAGACCCCGAAGCCGGAGCCCACAGCTCTGTGGGGCAGCGGGTGGCCGTCTCCAGGCTGAGGACCAAGCCCCGGGCCCGGCAAGTGGAACATACAGGGACTCAGCTTCTCCCGCCCCCAGCCGGGCCCCCAGGCTGCAGGACAGGAACCGAACCAGGGCTGGGAGCCCAGGGAGCCCAGGTGGGGCCCAAGAGGGGTGCCTGGGTCCAAGGAGCCCCGCCTGCCCCCGGAGCTGTGACATGCCCCCAGGGAGCCTGGAGGGGCTTCGACTCTGGAAGACAGACTGTCTCAGGGCACACAGGGGTGAGCAGGTGCCAGAGGGGGCTGGGCCCAGTGACCCTGCATGCCCCCGACCCTCAGGAGGGGCAGGGTCCCCGGGGAGGGCTTACCTGTCACTTCCGTTCCAGGCACACTCAAACTTGTCAAAGATGCAGTCGCTCTCATACAGGGAGCAGAGCTTGCCTCGGAGGTAGTCGTGGACCTGGGGGGTGGGGAATGATGGGAGTCCAAGGCACCCCACCTGGCCCCACTCAGGGAACACCCCCAACACAGGCAGGCAGGAGCTGGCCAGCTCTATGGCCCAAGAAGGGGCAGCACCAGCGACAGTCCCAGTGACAAAGGGAACAGCCTGAGACCAGTCCCCTCTGCCCCTCCCCCACCATGTGACCTTACACACCCTTGGGGGGTGAGCACACAACAGGGGCTCTGGGCAGTCCGAGGGCGACAATCCACATGACAGGCATGGTGGGCCCTCCAGCCTCTCTGTGGAGAAGGCACTGGTCCGAGGTCAGCAGCTGTACACAAGTGACAGAACCAGGGCCACCTCATGGTCACCAGCCCCCAGGAGAGGCCGTGACATCCCAGCCGCAGCCACCTGACAGCAGCCGAATACTCAAGCTCCATCCCGGGGCCCTGGCCGAGGCAGCCGCGTCCACCGGGCAGCAATTGGGCCTGGACTCAGCCCCCAGCTCTGCCACATGCTTGCTGTGCAAGCGGGGTGTGTGTGGGGGGGTTGTCCCTAGCTCCTGACCTCCCCGGGTCTCGGGTGTAGAAGGGGGGCCCCTGTGCAGGGGTGTGAGGGTACAGGCAGGACCCTAGCATAGATTTGTCCCCACTGTACTTCCACTCCTGCTGGGCAGTGGCTCAGCCAAACCAGGGCCAATGTGGGTGGGGGTGCCTGGGGAGGGCGGGAAGGGGGCCTGGCAGGCTCAGGGCGCTGAGCTGGTCACACTTCCAAGTGAGGGAAAGCCTTCTGAAGTCCCTCTCCTTCTCTGTCTGGGAAGCTCCTGTTGTTGTTAGAGCTGTTGAGTCGGCTGCAATTCACGGTGACCCCGTGTACAATTGAACAGAACACTGCCCGGTCCTGCCCCAGCCTCACGGTCCTTGCTGTGCCTGAGCCCACCGTTGCAGCCCCCGTGTCAGTCCATCTTGTTGAGGGCCTTCCCCTTCTTCGCTGACCCTCCACTTTACGAAGCATGACATCCTTCTCCAGGGACTGGTCCCCCTGACAACATGACGAAAGTAGGTGAGACCAAGTCTGGCCATTCTCACCTCCAAGGAGCATTCCGGCTGCACTTTCCCCAGGACAGATCTGTTAGTTCTTTCAGCAGTCCATGGTACTTTCAGCATTCTTCACCAACATCACAGCTCAAAACCATCAACTCTTCTTCAGTCTTCCTTATTCATCGTCCAGCTGTCACGTGCATACGAGGCGACTGACAATATCATGGCTTGTGTCAGGCGCACCTTAGTCCACAAGGAGACATCTTTGTTCTTCAGCACTTGAAAGAAGTCCTTTGCAGCTGAATTGCCCAGTGCTATACGTCATCTGATGTCCTGACTGCTGCTTCATTGGTGTCGATTGTAGAACCAAGCAACGTGAAGTCTTTGACAACCTCAATCTTTTCTCCATTTATCGTGATGCTGCTTACTGGTTCAGTTGTAAGGATTTTTGTTTTCTTTATATTGGGATGTAATCCATAGTGCAGGACTGTTTTCTTCAATCTTCATCTGTAAGTGCTTCAAGTCATCCTCACTTTCAGCAAGCAAGATTGTGTCGTTTGTGTATCTCAGGTCGTTAATGATTCTTCCTCCAATCCTGATGCCACGTTCTTCTTCATATAGTCCAGCTTCTTGGATTATTTGCTCAGCATACACATTGAGTAAGTGTGGAGAAAGGATACAACCCTGACACACTCCCTTCTTTATTTTAAACCATGCAGTGTCCCCTTCATCTGTTTGAACGACAGCCTCCTGGTCAATGTACAGGTTCCTCATGAGCACATTTAAGTGTTCTGGAATTCCCATTCTTCTCAATGTTATCCACAATTTGTTATGATCCACACAATCAAATGCTTTTTGAAAAGTCAATAACACACAAGTAAACATCTTTCTGGTATTCTTTGCTTTCAGCCAAGATCCATTTGACATCAGCAATGACATCCCTCATTCCACATCCTCTTCTGAATCCAGCTTGCATTTCTGGAAGTTCTCTGTCAATATACTGCTGCAACTGTTTTTGAATTATCTTCAGTAAGATTTTACTTGCGTGTGATATTAATGATATTGTTTGATAATTTCCACATTCTGTGGGATCACCTTTTTTGGAATGGGTACAAATATGGATCTCTTCCACTCAGTTGGCCAGGTAGCTGTCTTCCAAATCTCTTGGCATAGCTGAGTGAGTGCCTCCAGCAAGACATCTGTTTGTTGAAACATCTCGATGGGTATTCCGTCAATTCCTGGAGCCTTGTTCTTCACCAATTCCTTCAGTGCAGCTTCAACTTCTTCCTTCAATACCATTGGTTCTTGATCATATGTCATCTTCTAAAATGGATGAACATTGACCAGTTCTTTTTGGTACAGAGACTCTGTATATTCCATCCATCTTCTTTTGATGCTTCCTGCATCATTCAATATTTTGCCCATAGAATCTCTCAATATTACAACTCGAGGCTTAAATTTTTTCCTCACTTCTTTCAGCTTGAGAAATGCCGAGTGTGTTCTTCCCTTTTGGTTTTCTAACTCCAGGTCTTTGCACATTTCATTATAGTAATTGGCTTTGTCTTTTCAAGCTGTTCTTTGAAATCTTCTCTTCAGCTCTTTTATCTTGTCATTTCTTCCATTGGCTTTAGCTACTCTCTGCTCAAGGGCAAGTCACAGAGTCTCTTCTGTCATCCATTTTGGTCTTTGCTTCCTTTTCTGTCTTTTTAATGACCTCTTGCTTTCTTCATGGATGATGTTCTTGATGTCATCCCACAATTCTACTGGTTTTCGGTCACTGGTGTTCAATACATCAAATCTATTCTTTAGATGGTCTCTAAATTCAGGAGGGATATATTCAAGGTTATATTTTGGCTCTCGTGGACTTGTTTTAATTGTCTTGAACTTTAACTTGAACTTGCATATGAGCAGTTGACGGTCTGTTCCACAATCAGCTCCTGGCCTTGGTTTGGCTGTAGATATTGAGCTTTTCCATCACCTCTTGCCACAGATGTAGTCAGTCTGATTCCTGTGTACTCCATCTGGCAAAGTCCACGTGTACAGCCACCATTTGTGTTGTTGAAAAAAGGTATTTGCAATGAATAAGTTGTTGGTCTTGAAAAATTCTATCATGCTATCTTCAGTGTTATTTCTGTCACTAAGGCCAAACTTTCCAACTACTGGTAATTCTTCTTTGTTTTCAACTTTTGCATTTCGATCAGCGGTGATAAGCAACACATCTTGATTGCATGTTCAGTCAATTTCAGACTGCAGAAGTTGGTAAAAATCTTCAATTTCCTCATCTTTGGCTTTGGTGGTTAGTGCGTAAATTTGAATAATCATAGTAGTAACTGGCCTTCCTTATAGGTGTATGGATATTATCCTATCACTGACAGCATTGTACTTCAGGACAGATCTTGAAACATTCTTTGTGATGATGCATGCCACACCATTCCTCTTCAATTTGTCATTCCTGGCATAGTAGATCAAATGGTTGTCTGATTCAAAATGGCCCAAAGTGGTCCCTTTCAGCTCACTAATGCCTAGGATATCAATCTTTATGCATTCCATTTCATTTTTAACAACTTCCAATTTTCCTAGATTTATACTTTGTACATTCCATGTTCCGATTATTAATGGATGTTTGCAGCTGTTTCTCTTCAATTTGAGTCATGCCACATCAGCAAATGGAGGTCCCAAGAGCTTTTCTTTATCCGTATCATTAAGGTTGGTTCTACTCTGATGAGGCAGCTCTTTCCCAGTCGTGTTTTGAGAGCCTCCCGACCTAAGGGGCTCGTCTTCCTGCATTGTATGAGACCATGTTTCCGGGCTATTCATAAAGTTCCCCAGTAATGTATCAGACAGTGTTTCTCTGCTATTCATCTGGTTTTCCCTGGCCAATTCTTCGAGAAGTGGATGGCCTCTTCCTGCTTTCTAGTCTGTCTCCGTCTGTAAGCTGCGTTGAACCCTGTGCACCATGTGCACCCCTGCTGGCATTTGAAACATTGGTGGCACAGCCTCAAGCCTCACAGCAACATGCCACCACAGTAGGATAAACTGACAGACAAGTTTGTCTCCCTTAGCTGTTTGAAACCTCTCTGCCCTCGCCCTGCCTGGATCCCGTGGCTCTGTCATGCCTGGCTCTTCCCCTACTTCCTTCCTCTTGGAGTGGGGCCTGTCTCCCTCCCCTATTTACCCTTAAAAACCTGCTTCAAAGCCCCCTCCCTCAGGCAGCCTCCCAGATTTCTGGGCTGAGCTTTGAGGCTTCTCTGAGTCACTGTGTGCCTATGTTCTCCTCTGCCTAGGATTCCACCCTGAGCTCTTCCCTCTATCCGTCTTCAGGTCATGGCTGTGATGCCCTTCACATCGAGGGCCTGACCCCCGGCCCCACTGCAGTGTCTGTGCCCTGTCTGTCATCATCGTCAACCCTCATGAGATTTGCCTTGTCTGTTACTGCCCGTTGACAGCCTCAGTTCCTGTTTCTCCTGACACTCACTCCTTGAGGGGGTCTCAGCATGTCTGCTGGTCCTCCCACTATGTGGGTCTCCAAGTTCTCCAGCTCCTAGACCTCCTGCCCCCTTCCCAGGTTTCCTGGCTCACAGTCGAGTCATGGTAAGGGTCACTGTATTCATATCTTCTGGGCCACATGTGTGTGAGGTCAAGTGTCCTGCCCTCTGAGACCTGGGTCCAGCCCTGTGCCGGGCACAGAGAACTGCTAAGTCATAAGAGATGGCAAGGAACTTGCCTCTAGCCACCGAGCAGGTTTCTGGGTGCTCACGTTCAGCCAGTCTGCACTACTGTGTCCTTACTTAGTTACCACGGCCTCATTCATGCTCTCAACCAGACACACTGTTCTCTCTCCCATCTTCTCATTCAATCTCCTTCAAATACCAGCCCAGCCCCCAGATGGACAGGAGGCTCAGCTGAGGCCAAGAATGCTGGAGCCTTGGCTCACTCAACCCCACTCCACCCCCTCCTCCCATGTCCTCCTCAACTGCAGCAGCCAGAAAGCCACTGTAGCCAGGGAGTTGTAAGAAGTCTTCTAAGGAGGGTTCTAGGAACATTCTCACTATCCCAACCGAACACGCAATAGACCCAGCTGGTGCTGCTCTTCTCACTTCCTCTGACTTCTCACCTGGAACGTAGGTGCAATGTCTGGAGGTGCAGCAGCCGCTTTGGGACCTCACACGTGGAGGTGGAAAACCTACACCCAGATGATGTGGGCTGGATCTCAGAGGACCCGGGACATTGAAGAGGTCAGGAGCCAACTGCCACTCCTGAAACCTCCTCCAGACTTATTGTCGGGGGCAGTCAGCCGACAGTCCTGCTACACACATGTTCTGGCATGTATCAAGTAGCCAATGAGCGCTAGTCATCATGCTGATCCTGTGTAAATCAGGAAGTCAGTAGGCCCCGAGGCCAGGCCTCCAGTGAAGTTATTCTTCCCGTGTTGGGACTGAGAGTCCTCAGAGATCCCTGAAAGCCCTTCACTCCACAAGATATGGCCCGCTGGGTCAGGGACATGGCCCTCACTGACCACAGGCCTGTGGAAGGCTGAGGGTCATTCCTCACAGGCCTGCTGTTGGCGTTGTTAGAGCTGTTGAGTCGGCTGCAACTCACGGTGACCCCGTGTACAACCGAACAGAACACTGCCCGGTCCTGCCCCAGCCTCACGGTCCTCGCTGTGCCTGAGCCCACCATTGCAGCCCGTGACAGTCCATCTTGTCGAGGACCTTCCCCTCCTTCACTGACCCTCCACTTTACCAAGCATGACGTCCTTCTCCAGAGAATGGTCCCTTCTGACAACATGACCAAAGTAGGTGAGACCAAGTCTGGCCATTCTCGCTTCCAAGGAGCATTCCAGCTGCACTTCCTCCAGGACAGATTTGTTCATTCTTCTGGCAGTCCATGGTACTGTCAGCATTCTTCACTACTAATACCACAATTTAAAAGCATCGACTCTTCTTCGGTCTTCCTTATTCATTGTCCAGCTTTCACACACATATGAGGTGACTGAAAACACCATGACTTGGGTCAGGCGCATCTTAGTCTTCAAAGTGACATCTTTGCTCTTCAGCACCCTAAAGAGGCCTTTTGCAGCAGATTTGCCCAGAGCAGTACAGCGTCTGATTTCTACTGCTGCTGTCCTGTGACTTCACATATTACACGTTTCAATTATTAATGGATATGTGCAGCTGTTTCTTCTCACGTTGAGTCATGCCAAGCTTTCATCCATCCATGTCATTAAGGTCGGCTCTACTCTGAGGAGGCAGCTCTTCCCCAGTCGTATTTTGAGTGTTTTCCAACCTGAGGGGCTCATCTTCCAGCACTATATCGGACAGTGTTTCAGGGCTATTCATCAGGTTTTCAGTGGCTAATCTTTTTCCTTCTTTCTGAGTCTGTCTTGATCTGGAAGCTCTGTTGAATCCTGCCCACCATGGGTGACCTTGTTGGTATTTAAATACTTGTGGCATAACCTCCAGCCTCACAGCAACATGCAAGGACGACAGATTGTCAGATGAGTCGTGGTCCCATGGGCAGCCCTGTTCCCATCTTGGGCCTCTCTGCTGCCAAGGGACAGAGGGGGTGACACCACCTGGCACATGCAGTGTGAGGAGGAACTGTCTGGCTAAGTTGGGCCTGGGGTCAAGAGTGGAGGAGCTGCAGGGCCTCAAGGAAACCCCGCCAGCATCCTGTGGGCATGTGACCTCTGGGAAGCCATGTGCATTCATGTCCCTGGTCAGACCAGAGCACCTCTAAGCTCTGTGTCACTTCCCCACAGGCCCTTCTGCCTGCGAGACCATGGCAGGGAGTGCAGGGAGGCATGGAGCCGAGTTTGGGTTCCTAACCCTCACCTTGCCCACATGCCCTAAGCCCTCAGGCCCTCGGCCCCTTTCTGCCAATGAGGTGATGGCACCCCCTCTGCAGGAGCAGTGGGCAGGAGAGGTGACAGATGCCAGTCACATGTGTCTCGTCCTTGGCTGAGGCAGAGCTTCTGATGGTGTGTTTTCCTATCAGCTCTGTGCAAACCAACTCCTATTTATCCTGCTAGGCCCTAAATGTCACCTCCTCCAGGAAGCTCCCAGATCTCCCCACTAGAGGCATAGCTGGAAACAGCTTTAATCCTTTCATGGACCACGGGACATATATCGTTTACCAACATTTTCTCCCTCTCAGGTTTCTTGGGATGCTACTGTCCCAGTTGCAGTGTGTGCTGCCGCCTGGCTGGGGTCTATATCATGAATCTGCAAGATTGGACCTCACCCCACCAGTCCTACCACCAGAGCCCACTTGGGACATATGTGTCCCGCATAAATGTATCAAAATCTGTATTACCTCAAAAAATACTTTTCCTTCATTTCAGTATGCCTTCATGACTGAAAATATACAACATCAACAAAAAATCCAAAGCAGAAAATAAGGGGTCGTGCTAAAGGAGCCTGCCATTCCTCTCAAGACCCCCGTGAACGTATCTGGATCACGACAGAACGACAAGGTCCCCTTCCCACCCAAGTCTCCGAGCACAGACTGCCAGGAAGTGCCCATGTTTCACCGGGGCCGGGGGTACCCCATCTGCCACAGGGCCCACCCTCCAGGGCACACCGGCCGGCCTCAGATGCTGGGGAGAGGATTCAGAAACACAATGTGCCCCTCACTTCACCACGATCTGCCTGTTCAGGGTGCTGCCTGTGGTGGGGGCAACACTTAACCTATCATGACGGTGTTACGGCATGCACCCTCCAACGGGCCCAGCTTGAGGCTCGTCTCTGCCCCCACAAGGGACCAAGAGCCCTGAGCCATGGGCTGCAGGTGAGTCTCAACCTGCCTCAAGCCAGGAGGCAGAGAGTGGGCGGCTCAGGGCTCCCAAGAGCACCTGAGCCACATGGCTGGGGTGGTGGCCGGCTCCCCTGAACCTGAGTGCTGGCCCTGTCATACCAGCACACAGGAGCCCCCCGCCCCACAGCCAAGACAGCCCCTTCCCCAGGAATTCTTGGCACAGGGATGGGTGCCCTAGGGGGTCACCGGCCAGCAGAGTCCCCCACCAAGGTTTCCCCACTGCGGCGCCCACCTGGTAGGTCTCAATGGGCCTCGCCTCCATGTTCAGGTCCCAGACCTTGACCGTGAGGTAGTCCCGCGTGAGCATGTACCGGCCACTGTGGCTGAACTTCACGTCCGACACCGAGGAGATGATCTCCGAAAAGAAGGAGCGGTTACTAGGGTCCTCAGGCTCCTCAAAGACTGCAGGGACAGAGAGGCAATGGTTGTCATGGGGTGGTCCTTCCATCCATCCATTATCCACCCACCCACCCATCCACCCATACATCCATCATCCATTCATCCATTCACTCATCCAACTACGCACCCATCCAACCACCCATCCACCCATGCATCCACCCATCCACCCATACATCCATCATCCATCCATCCATCCATCCACTTTTCCACTTTTTTTGGGGGGTGGGGGCTCATCATCCCAGCATATAGGCCTCTGGGGGTGATGCTGGACCAGAGTCTGAGGAGGTGGCCTGGGAGGGGCATCTGGTCAGAAGCAGCCGCTCGTGCAAACACCTTGAGCTGAGGACGAGCCGAGGCTGGCAGACAGAGAACAGAGCAAGGGGCAGAGGGATACAGGCCACGGTTAGGGGCCCCTCCCAGGGAGTGGGGAACAAAAGGGCCCAGAGCAGAAGGATGAACCTGGTCCAGTGGCCGGGGGCAGGGGCTGGAGGGAGCCTCCCACACAGGAAAGAAGTTTCCAGAACAGCCACGGCCCACATCACCGCAGGCAGACCCACTGAGTGTTGATTTGAAAAAACAACATGCATCCACCCAACAGCTGCTGACCCACCTCGGGAAAGGTGTGTGGGGCCCAGAAAGGCTCCTGCATGGCCTTCCTGCCCTTGGGACCCCAAAACTACTGCAGGGGGGAGGGAGGCCCATCTGGACAGCTCCTCTCCTGGATGCCGGCTGGCACCTGGTGGGACCCCACCAGACTCTGATGAGCAGGGCAGATGCAGCCCCCACACCTGGGCCCACTCCCACTCAGCTGTAGGGCCAGCCATGCCCCCAGACCCCACAGCACACATGGTCCTGGAAGGGACACTAACACACCAGGCGTTCTAGTCCATCCCTCTTTAAGGGGGGGACCCCAGACCACCTTTCATGTGCCCGCTGAGCCCGATTTCCTCATCATTCACGGGGGCGCCTCCTGGCACCTGAGAGCTCCTTCCACGAGAATGGGGACACCTCCCACCATGAGACCCATGGTGAGGCTGGGGGCAGAGGCGCCACACGGGAAAGTCCTGTGCCTGAGTACCAGCCCTGTGCCCATGCCACTCTGTGCCTGTGGGCACCCCAGGGCTCAGCTCTGCAAAAGGAGCCGAGGTCACCGGGGCGAGAGCTCAAGAGGTCTCAGGTGCAGTCACTTCACAGATGGCAGTGTCCCCACCCTGCCTCCCTTCCCAGGGGTGTTCTTGGTCGTAAGCACATGCCTTGAGGGGGTGACCCATGTCACAGGGTGACTGGCAGCTCTGAGGAGGGAAAGGGCAGAGGTCACAGGGACGTCACAGTCCAGCACTGGACACCCCCACGCACTGGCCCAACCAGCCCGTTCTGGCTACACCTGGCATTTCTGACCCCAGGCCCAAGTGAGTCAGGCAATTCCTCCTTGTAAGGACGAAAGGATGAGAATCCAAAGACATGCCCGTGAGGAAGGACAGGAGGAAGCGTGAGGACTGTACCTAAGGCATCTCACTTAAGCGTGAGGACTGTACCTAAGGCATCTCACTTTTCTTTTTAAACGTCGCACACTTAACCAATAATTCCCTCCAAAGACAAGAATCTGGTTCTCCCTTTCAATGCCCGCCCACCCCCACACACACTCCTGCGCCTCCCTGTGTCACTACCAGTAAGGCGGTCTCTGCTGCCTGACAGTCACTAAGAACGTCCACAGTAATGACTGCTGCCTGAAGACGGGTGTCCCAGAGCCTGTCCCCACGTGGGTTCAGGCCACGTGGCCCGCTGCTCCCATGCTAATGACTTCAGAGTGAGGCTCTGAGTCAGCAGAAATATATCTCCTCAGGACCTGGCCTCAGTGAGGCCCCCGACACCCTATCCTCCTCACTTGGGTCATCTCACGCAGTCCCCGTCACGTACGTGGATTGTGTCCTCTGCTCAGGCTGGGGTGGAGGGGACAGGGACCCCAGGCCGGGTGTGGGGGCGCAGGCCCTGAAGGACGTCTGCATCAGAGGCAGTGGAACTGGAGCTGGCATCAGGGCCCCTCACACAACTCCAGGGGTATCACTCTCTGCCTGACGCCCTCCATGGCTCCCCGGGGCCCCAGGAACAAGGAGCGCCCCCAGGCAGCTGACAAGCACCTTTGTGACCCGGCCCCATCCTCCCTGCCTCTCCGACTGCACATATAAATTCCGTCCGGCAGCCACACTGCAGCCCTCTTCCCGCCAGATCCCAGGACCCGGAGGGGCTCACCTAGGACAGCCCTCATTTATGGCTGGAACCCCAGCCTTCGCACTGGGTGGCCCTCGGCTTGGGAACCTCGTACCTGTAGCCTCCCCCTTACGAGGGGGCGAGCCCATTCAAGGAAGGAGGTCCACCTGCAGTTCCCACAGGACGGGGCAGTGGGTGTTCGGTGAGAAAGCGCTGCAGGCAGGTGACTCACCAGCTGTGTGCCCTTGGGCAAACATCTGGGCTTCTCTGTGCCCCTGTGAGGAGGCAGAACAGTGGCCCCTGGAGAAGTCCCGTGCTCATCGGAACGTGTGAGCATGTGGCCTCACCTGGCAGATGTGGTCGAGTTACAGGTCTGTAGACGGGAGGCGACCCTGGAGTATCTGGGGGCCAGTGTAACCACAAAGTATAATGAGGGGGAGGCAGGAAGGTCAAAGGCAGAAGGAGATGGGACGAGGGTGGCAGAGAGGTGCATGCTGAGGGTGGAGGGCAGGCCACGAGCCAAGGACCCAGGCGGCTTCTAGCCAGCTGCGCTGACCCTCACGCAAGGTGCCCCCGTGTGCGTCCAAGCCCAGCTGGGCCCCCAGGGTTCCCAAGGGCTGCTCTGGAAGGTGGTCACCAGGCCTTCCTTCCGAGGCGCCTCTGGTCGGACTCGAACCTCCAGCCTTTGGGTCAGCGATCGGGGCAATCACTGTTCGCACCCGCCGGTCGTTACCGCGAGTTCCAGCAACGCCTGCCGCGCCCGCCCTCCTCTGGGAGACTGTGCAGCCGGAGCAACAGTAACCGTCTATTTTAGGATGCCTGACAGTCGTTTCCATGGCTACCCTGTCACAATGACGAGCAGACAAAGGATCTCTCCTGCTTGGGAGGCTGCCGACTAGGGTGGGCAGGCCCACCAACGCTGTCCTGGCACCTCGACTCCCTCCCCAGCCCATGAGAAGTGAACACCCACTTGTCACGCAGACCACCCCTCACTCCGGGACAGGAACCTCGGCTTCCCCCATGTGGAAGGGGGTTCTTGGCGGCCACCCGTGTTCTGAGCACCCCAGACAGAGGGCAGAATGGACATGGGGGAGCCTACGCCCACCCCCAAACCCCTCTAACAGAAGTCTCTTCAGCTCAGCAGCCACCATCTGCGTTTCTGTGAAAAACAACACGGACAGCTGCCGAGTGGGGGCCAGCCGCTCACTTGCTCCCTCACGAGGGCCAGGAACGGTGTGGGGAGAGCAGAGGAAGGACAGACGGACGTTCGGGCACTCACCGCCCGTCCAGCTAACGGAGAAGGACGGGGCGCTGGACAGCCGCGCTGACAGCTGGTGAGGCCTGCAGCACCCAGAGGGCGTTTCTGGCAGGGTGCTGAGTTTGAGGAAGAAAAAAAGTCCAAACAACTTAAAACACAAAGTTAACGGAGAGAAACGGAAAGCCCACAGAGACCAACAATCAAAGGAGAGATGAAGCGTCTGGAGACGCCACCGTCTCCCTCGAGGACACTCGACACAACCATCAAAATCCAAACCACACTCACTGCCGGCGCGTTGCCCCCGACTCACGGCGACCCCTGTGGGTTTCCGAGGCGGTATTGCTACGGAAGCAGAGTGTCCAACCTTCCTTCCACAGAGTGGCTGCTGGGTTTGAACCGCCACCCCTCTGGTTAGCAGTCAGATGCCTTAGGCACTGCGCCACCAGCGCACCTCTGAGAGATCCACTAAACTTCCCGGGGCCATGCGTGGCGCAGACTGATGAAACCAAGGGAGCCGCCCAGCTCGTATTAGGAGGTCGAATTACCAGAGCGCAAGAGGAGAAGGGAATGGCCTGGCCTCTGAACACGAAGACAGAGCACTGACAGGAGGTCTGAGATCAAACCAACCCGGACCCCGACCCCGGGGTGGGCCAGGGCACACACGGCCACAGGACATGTCACAGCTCCTGGGCGAGTCCCTGCACAGAGGCTGACAGCCTGGTCCTCACCCTGTGTCACCTGGACGCACCCACAGTCTGGTGGTCAGAGGTCAGGCATTCTTCCATCCACACCCTGGCCCACAACCAGCCCTCTGGAACCTGGACCCAACATTGGGAGATGAGGGCCACCAAGCCCCCGTTAATGTTGCCTGCAGCCCTGCGACAGAGGACTGGAGGTGGGAAATGCAAGTCACACGGCTCCTGCTCGAGCCTGCGGGGGGCTCACATTGGGCTCCTGGGGGGTCTGCAAGGGCTCACACACAGCCAACCTTTCCATGAGCCAACTCATTTGGGGCTGGGAGGACCCTTGTGGTTACAGTGGCCCCACAGACAGTCCACAGTCGTCTCCTATCTCGAAATGCCTACCTTGACCACACCTGCCAGGTAAGGTCACATGTGCACAGGTTCCAATAAGAATGGGCTGCAATTCAGCCTCCACAGGGGGCACAGAGAAGCCAAGGCATTTGCCCAAACTCTTGTGCGTCTCCTGCCAGCAGTTCCCTCACTTATCTTCACAGAACCCTGGGAACTGACTCTGCCCCCTTCCCCATCCTATGGGGGCACCCTGGGCCCAGGGAGCTCACGTGTGTGGAGTTCATGTCATGTCAGACCCTGAAGAGTGGGTGCAAAGCGTGTCTCTGCCATCCACCTCCCCACCACAGAGCACCTCATCCCGGTGAGCACCGGCTGCCCCCTGGTGCCCTCCTGCACACACACGTCTCATTCAAGGTTTAAACCCTCGGCGTAAGATATAAATACACAAGCAGTCTGGCAGGGCCTCAGAATCCCAGGGACGCTGGAACGCACGCCCCTCCCCCTCTATTTCTTTCTGGTTATCTTCTGTTTCCACTATTGTGGTAAAGTTGTCATTAATCTGTTTTTTTTTTTTATTTTCCTCTGAATATTTTCCCCATATCAGGAAACAGTACCTAAAACAATGTAAGTGACTGTGGCCAACACAGGGTCTGATCCAGCCTGGGGTCCAGGAAGGCTTCCTGGAGGAGGTGACATTGGCTGGTCGCTGGTCCCTCTGTTGTCTCTGGGTCCAACGCTCCCAGGCCTGCACCCTCGAGGCCCCATCCAGGGTCCGGGCAGCTCGTGGCTGCCTACTGCGGGGGGCAGCCACACCCCCAGCCACTGTATAGAACACACTCTCCCCACCCCAAGCCCAGGACGGAGCCCCTACTCACGCTTGGCGTGCTGGTCGCACAGGGCGGCGGCCCGCATGTCGCAGAGCCGCAAGGAGCCCTTGCTGCTGCTGTAGACGAAAAGGTTGCAGTGGTGCGGATGGAACTCCGACGCCGTGATCACCTCCGCCAGGTCCTCCATGTTGGCCGGCTTGATGTCCACAATGTCTGCGCTGCGTCAAGGTTGGTCTGGGCTCCCACGGACATGCCCACCCTGCAGACACGCCCACTCCGCTTCTCGGACAGGCCCACCTTGTGGACACGCCCACTCCACCCCTCAGAGAGGCCCACCCCGTGGACACGCCCATTCCGCCCCTGGGACAGGCCCACCCCACAGACACGCCCACTCCACAGAACCACCCTGCAGACACCGCGCCGACACGCCCACCTTGCAGACACACCTACTCCACGGAAGTGCCCACCCATAGCCCTGCTCGCAGTGAAGACTTGCTCACTGCGCATAACAGCCCAGCCCTGGGAAGCGCTCATCCCACAAATACACCCGCCCCTGGGCCGCAGACCGTGCCGCACCAGAGTGCCCGGACCTGCCCGCCTGAGTGGAGATCCGCGTGCCTCCCAGCGCCCGCCAGCCCTTCCCTCCTGACTGGACCCCCTACCAGCACCCAGGGCCACCTCCCCAACGCGGGGTGACTTGGGTGTTGTCCTCTGCCCCTCCATTGCTGAGCAGAAGCAAAGCCGCCCACCTGGTGCCTGTGTTGCAGGCTGTGCACACCCCACACTCTGGTGAGTCCTAACCTCTCCACTGCCCTGTGCACAGGGGTCTGCTGCCCCCAGCACACACTTCCCTCTCCTGCCACCGGCACTGGGATTCCCCCACCTTCACATGCGCCTGCTCGCTCAGGCAGTGACCACAGGGTTGTGAGCAGTTGGTGGGATGTGACATGTGGAGGGTTTGCTACCTCTTCTGGGCTGGGTGGGTAGAGTGGGGAGCCCTGGAACCTGACAACGGGGTGGCGGCATGAAGAACAGATTGGTGAGAAAAATCCTGGATCAAGCTGTGCCTGAAGCCATTGTCTGTGGGCCAGTACATTCCCTGGTTTGGTGCAAGGTCAGGGCTTTTGTTCCTGACCAGTGCACTGGGGCAGGGGGGGGGGCAGCAGCGAGTGGCCAGGCTGGACTTGGCCTCATGGTGGCCAGGCTCCAGCCGGCTCTTGCATCCCTGTGTCCACAGTGGCAAACTCAAACCCTTTGTGTAGCATGCAAGGCTCTGGCCTCTTCTGAACACTCCAGCTTCATATCCTACTGGCCCCCTCCCCAAAATATACTGTCCCCTTGGAGGGTGATGCTGGTGGTCTCACAGCCCTAAACTCACAGGCCCTAACCAGAGTGCCCCTTTTGTTTGCATGTGAGCCCTGGGCCTGTCATGTCTTGGCTGTTGTGGTGGTTTAGTTTGTGTGTCAACTTGGCTGAGCCTGGTTGAGTGGCTGGGCAGCTGGATGTAGTATTCCCCATGAGACTGGTCATCAACTCCATGGTGGTATCTACTGTGAGCAGCTGAGTAGCTGCCTTAGGGAATGTGGTCTGCTTCCTGTATATAAGCAGAAGCCTTGGAGAATGGTCTCTAGCCTATGGCACGCTTGGACCCTGTATGTAGCCGTGTTGTTGTTCAGCAGCCTGCCATGATTGCTGACCTTGGGACTTACAATGGACTTAAAGTAATGGCCTGTAGTGTGGTTTGGTAACATCGGGACTGTGCCTTTTTACTTGTCAACCTTGGGTTTGTCAGCCTCAGCAGCCAGCAGCTCTCTGAGTGAAGAAACGCCTCTAGCTCCAGTGGGCCGGGAGCAGGGGGCAGAGCTGGACCCCAGGGTTGAAGGGCTTTCACCCAGCCACTAGAGCCTGGCACTTTGAACTTGGACTTAAAGCCTCCAAACTCTAAGAGAATAAACTCCTTTTGTTCAAGCCTCCCATTTGTGGTGTGTTCCCGTCAGAGAGGCACTGGGAACCAGAACAGCTGAGAAGCCCTGGACAAGCTTGCCTTCCCTGTGCCTCAGTGTCCCCGTCTGCAAAAGGGATTAACGATTCCAAGCTCAAAGGTTCCCGGGAAGATTTGAAGAGGCAACGCCCTTCCCACACGCCTGAAGAGGGTCACTTTTTACACCCGAGACCCAGGAGAGGCTCTGCGGCCATCCCGTCAACCATGTCCCTCTGCCGGTTCTGCTCTCAACCGGAAAGAAGCAAACATGAGAGTCGTAAGTCTCAGGACAGGAGCTCTCTGCTCACGCTCGCCTCTGCTTCCTGGACCCACGTCAGTACCAGGGATGAACGACAAGCCGCACAGCGAGTGAGCTAGATGACGCTGCCCTGCTGGGCTCCCAGGCAACGAGGAAGTCTGTAAGGCGCGAGGCCGGCCAGTGGGAACCAGGATAAAGGCAACAGAGCCAAGAGCCCGGCCACTTCCTCTGGTCCCTGCAGCCACTCACAACCGCCAGCTGCAGCTCTTGCCTGAAGCCCAGGCTGACTGCCCATCACCTGGGCAAACCCAAGCCCCACTTACGCACCCACACTTGAATTGATGGCCCAGCACTGTGTGACACGTCCACAGGCCAGGTGCATGTGGACGGAGCTGTGCCCTTTCGTCCCCTGCCCATGCAGATAAGGACACAGGGGCTTGGGTCCTGCTCTGGTCCACATGGGACCGGGGATAGAGCCATGTCGGGGCTGCAGTCCAAGGCACCATGGCTGTGACCCAGGGCAGCACAGCAAGTGGTCAAAAGCATGATCTAGCCCAGCTGGCGGGCTGAATCCCAGCTCCGCCACACAAGCTGTCTGACCCGCTGTGCCTCGGTTTCCCTGGCTCAAGAGGGCACCTGCATCCGCCACCTCCAAGGGTTGCAGTCAGGATGTGGTGGGCTGTGGGCAGGGCCTGCACACAGTAGGGCTGTGTACGCGAGTCTGGTCCGTGGGAGTGGGGCGGGGCGGGGCAGAGAGGAGGGGAAGTGTGGGGCAGCGGCCGGGGCTGGGACAGGGCCGCCCCCTGGAGGGTGTTCCCGTCCCATCGGCTGTCAGGCCCCAGCTCCTCAGGTCTCACAATGAGGAGGGCCAGGTGCGCACGCACGGGTGCAGCCCCTGAGCCCAGGAGCGGTGCGCGTTCTCGGCGAGGCCAGAGCCGACCTGCAGGCTTAGCCTCTGCTGCAGAGCCACCAGAGCAGCACAGACCGACACGGGCCGGCGCCGTGAGGCCTTGTGGGCAGGTGGTCCTGGCCGGGGCCATGCTCTGCCGACCCGTGGCCTGGTCTCCCCCTCCACGGTCCCAGAGGGCGGTGCACGGACTCCCCGCGGCCTGGTCTCCCCGTTCTGTGCCCTCCTCCCCCACCACGGTCCCACAGGAGCCCTTTTCGGCTTCAGTGCCAACGAGTTCCACACTGCAGGGCCGAGTGTCGAGTGTGTCTGGCTGCTCCGACCAGCCCCGCAAGCCAGCAGAGCTCGGAAGCAGGGGCTGGCCGCTGCTCCACCAGCTGGGACCCAGGCAGCCTTCCGCACACACAGCCCGTCTGCAGACTTTAATTGAAGCTCCTCCATCTCCTGCCAAAGGCACCGCCTGGTCTCTGGAGCTTGGCTAAGACCACTCTGCACCCCTGTCAAGTGCTGGCCCTCGGTCCCGGGCCGGTGTCCCAGGGACTCCACACTGAGAGCTCACGTTGGAGAGGCTGGGTGCCGCCAACGGCTTGCCTCTTCTACCACATGGGCCACGGCGCCTGGAGCAGCACCTCTCTGCTTTATATAGGTGAGCACCCCTCACCTGGGCAGGGGGGCCCCCTCACCTGGGCA